CAGTAATCTTGTATTTGGATCCAACGTTCTTATTGGTTATTTATTTGCTTCCGTTGGGAATATATGTCTCGTGATAAAGTAATGCTTTACTTTGTGGTGAACTCCATAATTAGCTCATGAAAATTAGGGTTAGTTTGATGTCTTCTATAGTGTATATGTTGAAAGATTGTGTCTTCCTCTTGAAAGAAAGAAGAATGGAAGGTTTGTGTTTTTTCTGGTTCTGTGGGATTAAAATCAGATTTCAAGGAGAATTTAATTAAATGTGTGGATTGGAAAAGTTGCGGATCCTATGAAGTACCCCTTGGCCATACTTCTATAATATTTTGGGCTTTGCCTGTTGTAGGTAATTTTTTGTACATCAAGATGTCCCAGACTCACATGGGGTGTGGGGCTCAATCGACACCTCAATGTACAAAAAATTATGTGAAAATGATGTTATCCTAATATTTTTCCTTCTAGTACTGATCTCAATGTCAATGTTGTGTCATTAGCAGTGTTGTAAAAGGTTTTCACGGTTCCAATTTCAGAAACTACAAAGCTATTTAATTTGTCTAAGCATACGCATAATTGCTTTTTTGGTAGTCACCACTACGGGCTTTGACAACTCCTTTTTCTTATATCAGAATATAGACCCACAGATTTTTCCTTGTATTATTCCCCCAGTGGCTTCAATATATAGCCTAAATCCTTTAGTGGTTTCGATTAATGAACCATGTGAATGCAATGTGCTAAATTTAGCTACTATCACCAGGCTTCTTGTAGGTTTCTAATTATGTTTTATTGTTCTTATTTTTGGTAATTAATTATGTATTATGTGCAGTATCTGGATGAGAACAAGTCACTGATTCTGAAGATTGTCGAAAGCCAGAACTCGGGTAAAGTTAGTGAATGTGCAGAGTAAGTACAGTACCTCTTTTTCTTATTCTCTTGCCTTCTCATCTAAACTAGAGTAGATGTATTATTATTTGGTATAATTATTCATTTATTCTACCTCTCCTCCAAAATATGGCTTTGAGTGTTGATTCTTTAGATCCACTTTTTGCTATGAAAAGAAATACACATTAATGATCTCAAGATTTCTATGAAGCCTGGTTCATTGATGTGAAATCATTATGAACATTGGGTGTTAAGAAAATTTATTCAGTTTGATCTCTTTAGAAATGTGT